CACTTGAACGGGAAGTTCTGGATTTATTCCTCACTTCGGTCATAAAGAAATTACTGTAGCAGTCCGAGGCTTGGCACCTCGGACCTATCCTTACAGGTATTATTATCGAAAAAGAATTTTATAATTAAAAACAATTTAAATTATAAAATAATAAATTCAAAAAAAATATTAAGATCACCATTGCCCAATGCTTTTAAAGATGATATTAAAAATTTTGTATTTTTATTTTTATTTTTTGTGATAATAACAACGCTCCACCGAAAGGTGGTTTGTTAAAATAACATTTAAAGTGGGACAGTCAGCAACTGTGCTTGCCATGACTTCAAATTTAACGGCTTAAACTCCCAGCCCCTTCTAACTTGTTGTTCTTGAGGGTCTCTACCTTATAACTTGGGGGTTTTAACTCCTCAAGTATTCAAATTTAGAGGGAATGCCCCAAAACTTAACGTTTGAACACCACGTGTACCCTGTGACCGTTATTGTTCTGTTTGTGTAAGCACAGTCAACGCCACATCGTCATAGAATATCCATGTGGCATGTGACCTGCCCCAATTTTAAAACACTTGAAATAAAAAATAAAAATAATTGATATTTTTTATTCCGTTGTCTTCTACCCCAAACACCATCTCTTTCCTCCAAGCAACTTCCTAAAAATATGGCAAAGCCCTTCCTACAATGTCGAAGCTCTTAGATCTATATTTTAAAAAAAGATAATGACAATAAAAATGTAGTTTGATTAAGCTCTATATAGATGCGATGCGTCAATTAACGCAAACTAAATACTGGTGTTCACAAAATCATGGTTTTTCATGAAAATATATTTTTTCATATGTTTGTTTTTTTACCGATAAAAGATCATTTTTTCTTAATATGTTAATTGAGAGACAAATTGATAGATTTACTATTTTGGTTTCGATGGGTTTTTGGAATTTGGAAAGTTATCGTCTTTTTAGGTTTTTGGATCCATGATCCATCGTTCTTTCATTTTTTTGACATTCTTGAGTACCTTGATATCAATATCTTGAAATTTGATGCAAATGCGGCAATGGATACAAAAATCGAAGATTCAAGGCATAGAAACATGAGGAGGTTTCAAATTTTTTGGGTCAAAAAGCGGATCATAGGACCCGTTTCCTTGCAACTTTGACCCGTATAGGTCATATGTTCTTA